GGGGACCCCGAGCGCGCGCACCTTCCGCCCCCTGATCCTCAGGCTCCTGCTCTCCCCGCGAGGCACAGCCGCCAGGGTCCCAGGAAGCGAGGGAGTGGCCCGGGCTTGCTGGCGTCCAGAAGGGCCTGGGAGGCGCAGGGGCAGGGCCGAGGGACCGCGGGGGACCCAGCGTGCCATCAGCCACCAAAAAGGGGGGTGACTTGTGCCCGAAAGGGGAGAGCTAGCGATCCCGACACCCCTGCAAATTGAATTTGAGGGAATTAGCAGGAGCCCAGGAGGTAGTCTCAGATGCGAGAATTAAATTAACACCCCTCTGCGGCCCCGCACCCCCACCCTCAGCCAGGGCTTCAGGGAAAGGGGGGTTGAAGAGCAGCCTTTTATAGGGGTTTGGTTGGCAAGAACCGAGAACAAGGGTAGGTTTTCGAGGGGTGCAGGAGGACGGCTGCGCCACCCGCCCTCTGGGCATCTGCGCGCACCGCGCGACCCTCACCGCACCGGGGCGTCGTCGTGGGTGCTGACCGACGCCACCCTGTTGGTCCCTGATGAACCTCGTGGTGAGTTCATAAGCTGGAGGCCTATTTTGCAAATCAGTTTCCTTAGTGTTGGAATAACAGGAGAGTTTGGAACCTGGAAGGCTTGAGGAGGGACCCTGGGGGGGGGGCATGGAAAGGTGGGACCAAACTTGAGGTCACCCCAAGCAGGAAACTGCCATTAGAAAAGGGAATTCACCAAGGGGGGGTGTCTCCCCAAACCAAAATCTCAAACAAAGGAGCTGCATCTGGAAGTTCAGGTGGAGCGCACTGCTTTTAAAATCGGGGATGGGAACCTGTTAATAGATCATGAAATTGATTCCAGGGGTGGGGACACTGTTTTACAGAAATGGGACTAGGCCAGGTTCCCGCAGAAAACAAAGACATCTCATCCAGGGGGAGTATTTCTAAGTGAAACTTGTATGGGTGGGCGAGGGGTGGGCATGAACGTAAAGTATTAATATTTAATCGCTTATCGTTTCAGACATTTTCGCTGACGTCCTTCCTCTAACCTCCCACAAGCATTTGCCCCACGTTACCTTTTTCTATGTGTGTAATAATTTTTTTTGCAGGGTTTTCCCCAACGGATCCTAAACAAGACCGTAGGGAACATGTCATTTTCATCTTGGTATCTCCACAGCCCATCTTGTACTTTTATGCCTAGAACTGTAACTCTTAGTAATAAATGAATTTTAATGGGCAGACGACTCAGCGAGTCTCCATTCTCAGTTACGTATTAACTACATTCCATATGAAAATTTAAACTTAACATTCTGTACATAATCATGCAGATTTGAAAGTATTTACTATATATTAATTGTTGCGAATGAATACTTTTTAAAAAGTAGGTGATAAAATATACCAACTCTGAAATCCTATTACATTTTATTTATGAAATCACATTGGGCCCTTTAACTGATAAACTGGACGCAGACATTATCAAATTATTGGGTCCATGCCCCTGAAATCCGCCTCTAATTGACTTTCAGCGTCGTCTCCTAATGAATCGAGAATGGACTGCACTGTCAGTGGACAGATGGGTGCCGGAAGCTCAGAGCCACACCCAGGTTCTTGTCCGCAGGCCACCCGCCGGGCCCAGTCCTTGTGGACACTGATCTATGTATCCGACGTTTTTTGAATCGCCAGATGCTGAGCTACGACATGTCACGCTCCACCCAGTGCCCTTTCACTCTCCATTCTTATGATTGAGAGCAAGTGATAACACGCCCCTGGGGTTGCCCGTAGGGAATCTTTGTTGCATTTCATGGGACACCCAGTGGCACACTCTGTTTCACCGAGCTGGTCTTAGGAAATCCTCGCGGGAACCATCAACTCGAGAGCCCAGCGAATCCCGGCCGCCTCCTCCGGGGAGCCTAACCCGCTGACGCTGCAGCCCAGGGCCTAGGCCCCCGCTCTCATCTTTCCCTTTGCTTCTGGTTCCCTCGGGGGGGCTGGGGACCGGCTGCACGCATGGCGTTACCTCGCTGCTTCATCTCCTCTCCAGCCCTCTCAATCACTGACCTTCCGGCAATAGCTGGATCAGTACTGTGTTTTGGAAACGAGGCCTGCAGCCACCGCGTTGGAGGGCTTCTCC